TTGGGTTTGGTTCCAGTCAAGGGCATATACACTGGTTGCAGGCTAGATCACCGGCCCTGGTTGAGGCGCATGTAGGAGGCAACCAGTCGATGTGTCTCTCTCACATTGCTGTTTCTCTCTCTCTGTCTCTACCTCTCCTGTACACTCTCTCTCTGGAAATCAACGGAAAAATATCCTCGGGTGAGGACTAAACAACAAAAGAGAGGGACCTGTTGTGACCTGAAATAAAAATGCCTGCCTTCCTGATGTCTAGATTGGTGTATGTTGTGGTAGGCAGAAGGCTTGATCTAGGGACAAGGTTGTCTGTATGGAGACAGGGAAAGCCAACATCAGGAGCAGGGATTTGGGTTTGGGATTAAGCAGGTGTAACAGCAAGACACCTCTCCTGTACACTCTCTCTGGAAATCAACGGAAAAATATTCTCGGGTGAGGACTAACAACAACAAAAGAGAGGGACCTGTTGTGACCTGAAATAAAAATGCCTGCCTTCCTGATGTCTAGATTGGTGTATGTTGTGGTGGGCGGAAGGCTTGATCTAGGGACAAGGTTGTCTGTAGGGAGACAGGGAAAGTCAACATCAGGAGCAAAGATTTGGGTTTGGGATTAAGCAGGTGTAACAGCAAGACGGCCAGGGCGCAGTGGGGCTGGGAGTGAGGTGCACTGTGGGAGGGACAGCCATGCACTTGCAGATACTGGGAAAGACCTGGAATTCTTCACAAGCAGATAGTTTATTATTAATTTAACTAGAGGCCCAGTGCACAAAATTAGTGCACAGGGAGGGGGGGGCAGGGAGAGGGTCTCTCAGCCCGGCCTGCACCCTCTCGCAACCCAGGACCGCTGGCTCCTAACCGCTTGCCTGCCTGCCTGCCTGATCACCCCTAACCGCTGGCCTGCCTGCCTCATTGCCCCTAACCATTCTGCCTGCCTGCCTCATTGCCCCTAGCCTGATCGGCCCTAACTGCCTCTGCCTGCCTGCCTGATTGCCCCTAACTGCCTCTGCCTACCTGCCTGATCACCCCTAACAGCTTGCCTGCCTGCCTGATTGCCCCTAACCACTCTGCCTGCCTGCCTGATCGCCCCTAACCATTCGCCTGCCTGCCTGATCACCCCCAATTGCTCACCTGCATGCCCGATCGCCCCTAACCATCTCTGTCTCGGCCCCCGCTGCCGCAGCTTCGTCCAGAAGGATATCCGGAATGATGTCCAGAAGGTTGTTTGGCTGTCTGGTTCAGTCTAGCATATTACACTTTTATTATAGATTATTTATTATTGAGTAGTTGGCAGACATCGAAGGTGTTTTATGACTGTTGATCTGGAATTGCCATGAGGGTTACCTGCGGGTGGTAAGGAAGTCAGGGTGCCACAGAGGATTGTGAGGAGGCTGTGGGGTGAGGATGGCCTGGCAGGGCAGCCACAGGGTGAAGGGGAAGGATGGATGTCGGAGACACCTGGTCGGAGGGGAACCAGGAGGCCTGGGCACCTGGAGCAGTCAAGACTGACACCCAGGGCTTGACGTTTAGCTTTTAGTATCTGCAAATGTTTAGCAGCAGATATTTCCCCAAGGTTTTGTTTTAAATATATTTTTATTGATTTCAGAGAGGTAAGGAGAGAGAGATAGAAACATCAATGATAAGAATCATTGATCGGCTGCCTCCTGCACGCCCCCCACTGGTGATCGAGCCCTCAATCCGGGCATATGAAGACCCGGAATCAAACCTCGACCTCCTGGTCCAGGTCCATAGGTCGACGCTCAACCACTGAGCCACGCTAGCCAGGCTCCCCAAGTTTTTATTTGCATTTCAATTTTGTTTATGGCATTTTTTTGCAAGGTAGGAATGCAAAGTTAGATTTATACATCCTTCCCTTCACGGTTCCTTCCTTTGCCATTATGCATATTGGAAGCTAAATAAGATCTTGCTGAGAGCTTATCCAAGACCAGATGAGATTTCACCACCATGTGGGATGACTTATCACAGAAAGCATCTCAGAATATTCATAACACGCTAAATAGTCACGGAGACCACAGGCACCCAGAGCTGGTCCCTGTTGTTTTAATGAGTGTGGATCTTCCCCTTTGCAGCCCCAGGATGCTGAAGTTGTCTCAGCCTGTAACGGTTTTTCTCTTCCCTCGTTATAAATCGTTCCTCCTCTTTGGATTTGTGGCTTCTGCCGGTGCTATTTAAGGAGACCAGGTATCCAGGCGTGTTAGGTTTATCGGGAGAGTGTGAGTGAAATGGCCCCGGGCGCTCGCTGGTCCGTGAAGTGCACAGACTCTGAGCTCGCTGTGGCCCCTCCTGGGCCTTGTCCTTGGTTCCCGATGGTCTCTGACTTGTTCGTCGCTGCTGCGTCCCACCCTCAGAAACAGTGTCTCGTATGCCTGACTCGTTGCCCCTGTAAGGACCCGCAGTAACGTGTGAGGTAATTCACTTTGGCCAGGAGTCTGGGTGTGAAACCCCATCTTCTGCTCAGGCATCCAGTGTCAACGGGACAGACGATGAAAAGGCGTCTCACGCGAGCCCCGTGGACACCCACCTCAAGTCTGAGAACAACAAGCTGAAAATCGCGCTGACGCAGAGGTAAGGGGCTTAAGTCCAGACGCTGGTTCTCTGGAGGCTCCCGCTGGGCTGGGCTCCGCAAGTGGGGAGTGGCCAGTCTCACCTCCCGGCCGAGGGAAGCCCGGCCGGCTGGCCTCGTGGCTGTTCTCTGCCTCGCTGACCACATCACACACGCTGACCACGTCTGTTGGCACCCGCCTCTCCACTCAGCCGGCCCGGCCTGTTCTCAGAGCTTGATGCCTGTGACCTGACCTAGGAGTCCAGGCAACGGTGATCCTTAGACCCAGCCCCCGGTTTTGGATTGTGGGCTTTGTCAGGGTTTCAAAGGACAGAACTGAGACCAGTCTTTTTTCTTTCTCGTCAGACAGCTATCAGACTATTCTTGATTGTGTGATTTGTTTGTTTTTAAATATATTTTTATTGATTTCAGAGAGGAAGGGAGAGGGAGAGAGAGATACATCAACGATGAGAGAGAATCATTCATCTGCTGCCTCCTGCACGCCCCCTGCTGGGGATTGAGCCTGCAACCTGGGCATGTGCCCTGACTGGGAATTGAACTGGGACCTCCTGGTTCCTAGGTCGATGCTCAACCACTGAGCCACGCCGGCCAGGCCTATTCTTGATTGTTTAAGTCGCAGTGTGCTGCCTGAATGAACACATTTTAGCCCTAAAAATCAATGTTTTGAAATCCCAATTTAGTGGAGAAGTGAATTATAGGAATGAGGGGAAGCCATTTCCCCAAATCAGCTTAAGTTCTCCATCATCAGTCCTGGAACTAATCAGATAATAATGCTTTCTATTTTTTCAGTCTGTATTGTTTGAACTGGAAGTGTGTATTTTCCTATCACCGTCCCGGGTCCTGAGGCTGTGGGATGAAAGATAATGCAGATTATCCAGATGCAGCTGCATCTACTGTTTAAAAAGCCGTTAGACGCAGAACTCCCCTCTGCCAGGCCGTGCTAAGCAGGAGCCAGGACTCTGACAGCTTGTGGTGCAAGCTCTGCCCATCACCCGAGATGTTCAGACCGCAGATTCCTGGGCTCCGAGCAGGGAAACAAAGGAGCCTGAAACCAAACAGCCTCTGAGGGGAGCCTGACTCCAGTTTGTTTTCTAAAACTTCTTCACTGGAAGCACAGGGTCAAAGATAAACTTGGGCCCTGGTCAGTGTGGCTCAGTGGATAGAGCGTCAGCCTGCAGACCAAAGGGTCCCAGTTCCATTCCGGTCAAGGGCACGTACCTTGGTTGCAGGCTCCTCCCCTGCCTGGGCCCTGATTGGGGCTCCTGCAGGAGGCAACCAATCGATGTGTTTCTCTCACATCAATGTCTTTCTCTGTCTTTCCCTCTGTCTTCCACTCTCCCTAAAAATCAATGGAAAAATATCCTTGGGTGAGGATTAACAACAACCACAAAAAGATAAACTCGGGTGTATGGGGTACCGTAGAGGTGTCCCTCAGACCCGTGGCTAGAACCCCCGCTCTGCCCTCAGGGGAGTCCCAGTCATGGTCTCCTCTGCCCTCGGCTCTCAAATCTGGATTCCTTCCGAGGCAGGGCTGGGGGACCTTTTTCTGCCAAGGGCCATTGGGATATTTATAACCTCATTCGCTTCATATAATTCACTTCATGTAAGTTTATGTTGCTGCGAAAGCTCCTGGATTTATTGAATTTCGAGTCCCGCCTGCAGGGCCAAGCCTAATGCTTTCCTGGGCCTGCTGTGCCGCTAGGCCTGCTTCCAAGGCTCCGAGGAGGCACCAGTGACGGTGGGACCATTATCACCTGTTCTCTTGTTAAATCTGGGGGGGGAGGTTTTTTGTGTTGTTTTTTTTTTTTTTTGGCTCCAAGGTGAATGCAGGAACTTGTCGAAAGAGACCAGGAGCTTCATGAGATTCTCAGAGGCCCCGGGGTCAGGTCGGCCCAGCACTTCAGAACTTCTGACCTAGAGGCTCATTTCAGGGAGAAAGCGGTCCTCGTTCTGTGTCAGGGATCAGCTGGGGGTAGCAGGGACAGGGTCTGACTCCGTGAGCTTGGTCTCTTCCTTCTCTAAGAATTCTGTTCATTTCTAAAGTGATTCGTTTTTTTAAATCATCACCTGAGGATATTTTTCCATTGATTTTTTTGTTGTTGTTTTTTTAAATTATTATTATTATTATTATTATTATTTTTACTTTCATCCATTGATTTTTGAGAGAGTGGAAGAGAGAGGGAAAGACAGAGAGAAACATCAATGTGAGAGAAACACATCGATTGGTTGCCTCCTGCATGAGTCCGGACCAGGGCCTGCCTGGGGAGGAGCCTGCATCTGAGGTACGTGCCCTTGACCGGAATCGAACCCGGGACCCTTTGGTCCGCGAGCCGACGCTCTATCCACTGAGCCACACCGGCCAGGGCTCTAAAGGGATTCTTTAAAAAAAACAGCCCAGCAAGGTGATGGGTCCACACAGGACAGGCCAGTCCCTCTGGCACTTGTTCCTCCAGCCAGCCCACAGGTCGGGGCAGGGGGACGGTCAGCGCCCGCCCTCCCGGTCATCTCCCGGCCCCTGCCTTGCAGCGCCGCCAACGTGAAGAAATGGGAGATCGAGCTGCAGACCCTGCGGGAGAGCAACGCCCGGCTGACCACGGCGCTGCAGGAGTCCGCCACCAGCGTGGAGCAGTGGAAGAGGCAGTTCTCCATCTGCCGCGACGAGAATGACCGGCTTCGGCACAAGGTGGGCTCTGGGGGGCTGGGGGCACGGCCAGCGGGAGGGGCAGGGGGAGCAGGAAGACTCGCTGCCTCCTCCCTCTATTTCAATAACTGATTTATTACTGTATTTTTTATAAAGATATTTTTATTGATTTCAGAGAGGAAGGGAGAGGGGGAGAGAGAGAGAGAGAAACATCAGCGATGAGAGAGAATCATTGATCAGTTGCCTCCTGCACGCCCCCCACTGGGGATCGAGCCCACAACCCGGGCATGTGCCCTGACCGGGAATCGAACCTTGACCTCCTGGTTCATAGGTCAACGCTCAACCACTGAGCCACACTGGCCGTGTTTGAATGGTCAGCACGTTGACCCCACAGGCTCTGGGCACGACAGGGGGACACGGCACATTGACCTTGGTATTCACTCTCCCTGGCCCACCTGACCTGAGTGGGGCCACCGGAGGCCACGCTCTGTCTCACCGTCTTCGTGGTGCAGATGGCACATGAAACTGCCTCGTGTGGCGTTTTCCTTTCAGGCCCACAGTGCTGACGGCCAGGGGCGCCGGGCCAGGTGCTGACTCTGCAGGCTCCCTTCCCAGGCTGGCTGATTGGCTGATCGATTGCCCTGTCTTTCTTTTTCCAAGCCAAGAGCCCAGCTTCTCTCCGCGCCCGAGTATAAGAGCCCAAGGGCGGGGGGAGGAAGTGCCCGCTGAGAGGCGCTTTTGTGTTACACGTGGGTTCCACTCTTGCCGTCCGCTCTGCACACACACACTGGCCTTTGCTGTTCTTCTGAGGGAGCAGGCTGGGGAGGGAGAGAAAGGTGCACCCCCCCGCCCCGCTCCCCTCCAGGAAGAGGCCTGCAGGCCAGGCGCCCGTGTGCACCACTAGGGAAAGGTCCTGATTTAAAACGTTTGAAATGTCATCACGTCCCCCTTGGTGGCCACTGCCCCACAGGGCTCTGGTGTCTACCCCGCTGGCTTAAACCCATGAAACGGAATAATTCGGGACGTGATTAAAACGATGTAAAATCATTTGAAATTGAATAAATTTCTATGCTGATAATAATAATAATTTTTAAAAAGATGTAAATCATTCTGGGGAGAAGCAGGTAGATCCATGGGACATGTGGCCCCTGCTCGTGACAAATCCTTAAAGCGAACCTGCAGCTCCTGCCCTGTGGCTGTGAGAGCAGCCAGGAGCCCGAGCATCCTGAGGCCGGGCTGGGTGGCTCAGGTGGCTCTGCTGGTGGTGAGTGAGGCACCTCCTGCCGAAAGGGACTGGCAGCCCCTCCGGGAGCTGCATGGAGTTTGATTGTAGCCTCCGAGAAGCACAAGTGGGCTGGCTAGTTTTAGGTTTATCTTAAAAGAAATAAGTTTGGCTCAGTGGATAGAGTGTTGGCCTGCGGACTGAAGGGTCCTGGGTTCAATTCCGGTCAAGGGCACATACCTTGGTTGCAGGCTCCTCCCCGGCCTGGGTCCTGGTTGGGACACGTGCAGAAGGCAACCAATTGATGTTGCTCTCTGTCTTTCCCTCTCTCTGAAAAAATCAATGGAAATACATCCTTGGTGAGAATTAATAGAAAAAAAATAGAAAGAAAGGACGCATAATGTGTCGATCTTTTGTTTAATGACAAAAGTAAGCTAGCGTCCCTGCCTCCTGTGTGATGTTTCCCCAAGATTGACGAGCTGGAAGAACAGTGCAGTGAGATCAACAGAGAGAAGGAGAAGAACACCCAGCTGAAGCGGAGGATCGAGGAGCTGGAGTCGGAACTCCGAGAGAAGGAGACGGTGAGTAACGGCTCTGATGGCCCCTCGCTGTCCTCTGGGCCTGCGGGCGAGCTCTCCCCAAGGGCGCAGCAGGTGACTGGGCATGTGACGGCCCTGGCAGCTGCCCGGACATCGGCACAGAGTCGGAGCCAAGGGTCACGTCAGGGCGCAGATGCTACAGCCTCCTCGCTGTGTGTGCTGTGTGGTCAGCCGCCCGACCCAAGAGGGAGTTGAACTTTGTACCAGACGCTTGGGAACTTTTTTAGACGCTCTATCATCAGAAGTTGAACTCGGCTGTCAAATTAGTGCAGTGAGAGCCATTCGTTTTCTGGGGGGCAGGACAGCTAAGTACACAGAGGCTGGAGGCCACGGGCAGGCTGCCAACCCGTTCTCAGCCTCAGTTTCCCCACCCACAAAGCAGGAAGCATAAGAAGACCTTCCGCCATGGTGGTGTGCGATCGTGCGTGTACTGCACCCGGCCCTTAGAATATCTGAAGGGTTCAGTGTTGGCGTCATCACCTTTATTATCTGTGCAAACAGCACGGGTTCCAAAAGCTGCTTCCATTCCTAGATGCCCAAGGTGGGGGGAGGGGGTTCAAGAATACCTTTTATCTGACCTGATTTCACATGCTTTTTCAAATTTCTTTCTCCCGTAGGAGTTGAAAGATCTCCGAAAACAGAGTGAAATCATACCTCAGCTTATGTCGGAGTGTGAATACGTCTCTGAGAAGTTAGAGGTAAGGGCGGAGGCTCAGATGAGAAGGCCCTGGTCATGTGACTCTTCCCCGAGGCCCCTTCCCCCCTCCCCTCCCCAAGAAGGCTCAGCAGCATTTGTCCTGTGGCTTTTCCACCGAACGAAGGTGTCCTGTGCCACAGCCATAGTGCAGGCGACTGTTTCCAGTGCACAGCAGCCCCTGCAGAACCACAGAGGGGTGAGGAGTGGGGGCAGAAGGAAGGGCTAAGGGTGCTGTCCCACCTCTCCACTCCCCAGCCGTGACCTTGCAGACGCCCCTCACTGGCCTCAGACTTTTTTTTTTTTAATTTAATTGATTTCAGAGAGGAAGGGAGAAAAAGAGAGAGAGAGAAACATCAATGATGAGAGAGAATCATTTATCTGTTGCCTTCTGCACGCCCCACACTGGGGATCAAGCCCGCAACCCGGGCATGTGTCCTGACCCGGAGTCAAACCATGACCGCCAGGTTCATAGGTCGGCGCTCAACCACTGAGCCACACCAGCCAGGCCAGCCTCAGATTTCTGGTCACAAAAGGAGGGTTTAAACCTCCTCTACCTCCAGGCTCTCCTCACTCAGGAGCCGTATATTCAGGTGCGCAGCCCCAGCATTCGCAACTGGCTAGGGTTAGGTTATCAGCACGGAGCTCAGTGGGCCTCTGCTGACCGGCTGGGCCTGGGGCTGAGGATGCCTCGTGCTGGGATTTCAGACTTTCTCTGCTGGGCACTGGTGAAAGGGTCGGTTAGCACTGGGCTCCCCGGGCAGGCGTCCGAGTTCTGCGTTCTGTGTAGGACCGTCATTTTCCAGGCCCCGTGTTGGTCACACACTGTCTGTCGGCACCTCTGCCCGCGGACAGGCAGGAAAGAAGGGCTCGCTGAGCTGCCCTGGTCCGTGTGCTGAGGCACTCACAGGTCCGGGCTGCAGCCGTCGCAGGTCTCAGCGGACCCCCTCACTGTTCTCCAGACCCTTCTCCTTTGGTTTTGCTTCAGGCCGCGGAGAAAGACAATCAAAACTTGGAGGACAAAGTGCGTTCGCTGAAGATGGACATTGAGGAGAGCAAATACCGACAGCGCCACCTAAATCCCTGCAGGCGCGGCTGCGCGCGGTGCCAGACCGCCGTGCCGCCTCGCCTCCGGGATCGCAGTCTCCTCTCGCTTCTCTGGCCTTTCGAGGTTGCGGGCCGCTGGAAGATTCTGACTCAGGAACCCAGACTAGGTCTACCTTACGTTTACGCAGTCAGGGCAGGGATGTTTATATCTTTCTTAAGGGTTGTTGCAGCCACATGAGCTGAAATGAGTTTTCTAATCCAAACGTGAGTATCCATCACGCCTCCTGTTTTTTGAGTGGCATTTGGAGTATCTGAATGTCCCCCAGGCGCCCCAGTGTGGCCGTGGAGGTGAAAGCTCCCTCCCTGTAGCGATCCAGATGCGGTAGAGCAGCTGCTTGCCCAGAGAAAGGAGACAGGCTTCGGGAGGTGCCTTTCTGGCCCGGGGACCCCTGACCCCCGACCCCTCATCCCGCCCCAGTTGTGAGGCTGCGACCACGCTCCTTTCCTTGGTTTTAGTTTCTGAGCAGATCGCTGTGCCCTGGGGACAGCACGCAGTGAGGGCGCCTCGCACAGTGCCTGGCACACAGTAGGTGCTTAATAAATACTTGTTCAATTAAACACATGCCCAGGATTTAGTGTTTCAATCCAGCCCCAGCAGAGTCCCTGCCGACAGACCAGCGTCCTGGCGCCCTGGGTCGGCGTCAGGCGTGAATGCGCTTGTGTGGTCAAGCCCATGGCTTGGCTCCGTGGCCCTGAGGCTGGGAGGGTGGCCGTGGAGGCAGCAGGAGCTGGCAGGAGTCCTCCCGCCCCAGGCGCCCATCCATGGCCCTCTGCCCTGGTCTCTGACCCTGGGACCACCCTCACTCTCTAGTCGTGGGGCTTGTAGCAGGGATTCCAGGACCAGGGGTTGCCCCTGGGGTCGGGCTGCCCACTGGGATCCTATGTTGGGTTTGGGCAGTTGAGGAAGAAGTCACACCAGCCCATGGGGGGAGAGTCAGCTCAGCTGGGAGGCTGGCCTTGGCCCAGGTCTGCCTCCACCCCCTCAGGTCCTGCTGAGGGAGGGGCTGGCGCCACCCACCTCCTCTCCGTGGGCACTGCATGCCCTTGTCGTCCTTCATTGGCAGGGACTGGCACAGGGTTGAATCCCTGGCCGTGGGCCTTTCTAAGGGAGCCTTGGTGCGCCTGAACCTGCTTTGTGAACCCCTAAGAGAACTTCCCTTTCTAGAAAGAGGTTCCCACGTGGGTAGGATTTCTCCCTGCTGAGTCTGGGCAGATGATAACACAGCCTGAGGGCGGGCAGGTGACCTGGGCCCCAAGGAGAGTGTACAGGTCCTGCTGCTCCCTCCATGGAGCTGAGCCCTCAGCACAGGGGAGGAGGGAGAAGGGAGAAGGAGGAGGGAGGGCTGGTGGCCTGGAGCACAGCTTCAGCAGAGTCCCCGCAGGCTGGCACCGGAGACGCAGGGTGCACGGGAGACACAGGGCGCACGGGAGACGCAGGGCGAGGCTGGCCTGCCCTACCCCGGAGCCCCAGGCGGCTCAGGACAGCTTGGGCAGCTCCTCACTGTCTGAGCTGGAGACTAGACTGCAGGCTGGGCCTGGGCTGGGCCTGTGGCCGGCAGTGAGTAAAGGGATTCTTCTCAGGCAGGTCAGCCCACCTGGCAGCAGACCGGGCACATGGCTGCCCAGGAGCAGTGGGCTCCAGGGTTTAAAACCTCAGTGTGGGTCTTCTTTTTGTTGTTGTTGTTAATTCTCACCCAAGGATATTTTCCCATTGATTTTAGAGAGAGTGGAAGAGAGAGGAAGAGACAGAGAAACATCGCTGTGAGAGAGACACATCGATTGGTTGCCTCCTGCACGCGCCCTGACAAGGGCCCGGCCTGGGGAGGAGCCTGTAACTGAGGTACATGCCCTTGACCGGAATTGAACCCGGAACCCTTTGGTCCGCAGGCTGACGCTCTATCCACTGACCCACACCGGCTAAGGCTCCACGTGGGTCGACTCAGCTGACAGCACGTTCAGGTAGCGCAGTCAGAGGAAGGAGAGTTGCTAAAGGCATCTGTGCTCCGTAGCAGTGACTGTAGCAAATGCCGGAAGCAGCAGAGCTGTTACCATGGTGGCGGCTGCGTCCCGTGTGTCCCGAGGTCCCCTCACCGACCCTGAAAGAGCTTGGTGAGCACCGTGTAGGTGGTGGCGCGGAGCTCAGACCCTGAGCGGCCGGCTTGGCCAGTGCGAACGTGTCCCAGGCCCCGAGCCGAGCCGCGGGCTCCTCTGCAGGGAAAGGCGGGTCACCAGGCCCTGGGCTGCGTTCCTCTGCTCCTCTAAAGGTTTCATGTTTCTTCATTTACTTTCTTTTAAGGGCAGTGACCCCGGACAGCCCAGCCGTCAGGGGAGACTGGCCCCGTCTGACAGCCTGTGGCTCCGTGCGGGTGGCTCAGGGCAACGGAAACGACCTGAATTCCCCCGGTTTTCCCAGGAGCCCGCTTAACGGTCCTTGTTTACCAGGGCGCGTCCCCAGCCTCACACTGATGTCCTTCGTGGTCGCTGTCGGAAGCCAGGTGCGGGCAGGACAGACCTGTCACCCAGGAGCACCCGCCACACTGTGTGCTGGGAGGGGCGGGGCCAGGGCTGCGTTTTGTTGGCAAGTGCCGTCTCCTGGCTCTTCCATCTCCACCACTGGCCGCCTGGTCCCGGTTAGATTCTTTCCGCACCGTGAAACCCGGGGCCCAAGAGAAGCCCCGTAAAACCTACGGCCCCTTATTCGTAATGAGCCTTAAAAATCACTTTGTCCCAGTAAAGGCCCAACGGGGTGCATGGCCACGTGGAGAGTGGCGAGTGGAGACGAGCCCCTCCTGGTGTCCAGGGATGGAAGGTCCCCTAGAGACAGGCTGGGGCAGGTGGTCAGGCCTCGATGTGAGAGAGAGCCGGTGCCCCTCCCCACCCCCAAGACCTGACACTCGTGTGGCAGGCACCTCGCCGCCATACTCACCTGCACGCTGTCCCTTCAGGCTCAGCCGGGGAGGCCTGAGCGGAGACCAGTGCCCCTGTTTCGCAGACAGGAGGCCGAGTCAGCAAGCGACATGCCCAGGTCACCGGGGAGTGAGCAGCGCGTGGGCTCCGCGTCCGGGTCTCCTGACCTTGGTCGTGTGCCCGTCTTCGAGCCCCACGCTGGTCTCCCTTTGGTCATCCTTGAGGCCAAGAAAAACAGTTCTCTCTCTTTCTCCTTTTAATCCTCACCTACGGATATTTTTCCACTGATTTTTACAGAGTGGAAGAGAGAGGGAGAGACAGAAACATTGATGTGAGAGAAACACATCGATGGGTTGCCTCCTGCACATGCCCCGACCAGGGCCCGGGTCGGGGAGGAACCTGCAAGCGAGGTACGTGCCCTTGACCCGAATCAAACCCGGGGCCACAGGCCGATGCTCTATCCACTGAGCCAAACCGGCTGGGGCAAAAACAGTTCCCTTGTATTCTGGTAACAGCACACACTGAGGATACGCTATTTTAACATATGTCCACGGCCAATGCCAGTGTCCATGTGAGAGAGTCGGAACGGAAGGATTCTGATTTTGCAGAGATCTCTCCGGGGAGTGTTAGGAGCACACGCCCTGAGAGGCCAGACCTGGGACAGACTCACTTTGAGTTCTTTGTTGATGGCGTCAGTGGAGGCAGTGGTTCGTTCAAGACGCGCGGGAGGCCCTGAGACCACAGAGCAGCAGACTGAGTCCTGGCTGGGGGGTTGCCGTGCCCGCCCGCCCCTTCCCAGACAGGAGCCCGCTCTGTGCAGGGAGGAGCCGCGCAGTGGGCAGAGCAGGGCAAACAGGGCCTGCCCACCCAGGGGGACCGTCCACCGCGGGCAGCTAGCCTGCAGCCTGCAGCCTCCTCGCGGGCCGCTCCAGGCGGGGACAGGCCACAGCTCGGCCTTCAGGGGGCGGTTTGCTGAGCCATGACTGGTGTGACGTCATTTGACGTGAAACACCAAGTCGGGTGAAACAGAATAGTAATGTGCTGCCCACAAGCACCGCCATCAGCCCGTTTAAAAAGAGTGCTTTCTTGCCCCGGCTGTTTTAGCTCAGTGGATAGCGCGTCGGCCTACGAACCGAAGGGTCCCAGGTTCGATTCCAGTCGAGGGCACGTACCTCCCTGGCCTGGGCCCTGGTTAGGGTTCATGCAGGAGGCAACCAATTGATGTGTTTCTCTCACATCAATGTTTCTCTCTGTGTTTTCCTCTCTTTTCCACTCTCTCTAAAAATCAGTGGAAAATATCCTCAAGTGAAGAATAGATAGATAGATAGATAGATAGAGTGAATTTTGTAGAAAAGTCTGCCCTCTAGAGCCAGCCAGTGGGCGTGCCAGGGCTCACAGGGCGACCTCTCAGAAGGTCCTGACCAGGTGGGCGCTCAGGGGGAGGCAGCGGGATGTGACTTGGCCCAGGCTGGCCCCTCGAGGGAGGCTGTGCTTCAGGAGGGAGCCCGTCCCACTCTCTGCGGGCCGTTTGCGCCATCTGTCCTTCTAGAAGTTTCGATTCTCTTGTTCACATGAAATGTCCCTGCAGTTTGAAGCGCTGACGGTTTAAACTAGAAGCTGGCAGATCCATGTCCACATAGATTTTTAAATGATACACACGGTTTAAACGGATCATAATTTCTGGTTACATGGTTTCTCCCAAAGAAATGTTATATATTCGGGGGGACGGGGGGGGGGGGGACGGGGGGATCCTGTGTAGAAATGTGTGTTACTTACCTGTCCCCTCCACACGCCTGACTCAAGGATATGGGTCTTCTAGTTCCTCTCTAAATGCAAGAAGGAGACTTGGGCACGAATCTGGCAGCTGGATGAAATGGGCTAGTGGATTTAGGAGTGAGTGTGAGTGTGTGTGTGTGTGTGTGTGTGTGTGTGTGTTGGGGGAGGAGCAGCAGGGCAAGTAGAAGAAACACTCTTTTCAATTAAAAACATGTGCAGCTCAGAGGAGTCTTTGCGAACCCTGGCGGCGATGCTGTCTGTTGTGGACTCCACTGAGGAGCAGCTGGCGGGCCTGTGTTTCCCGCGGGATCGTGCCGCGCCCACTCTCTCTGACAATGCAGAGCCCGTGCAGCGTGGTCCCCAGGCCACACGGACCCTGTGCACCTGGCAGGAGCCCAGAGGAGCCACGGCGGAGTCCGACTGGGGGACGTTTTGGCACATGATTGACAGGTCTGGTGATCTGCAGCTGTGGGGAATGTGTTACTGTTTTCACCCTGTGGAACCGCTTTCCATAATAAAGTCCCGACGTTAGATGGATTGTTGTAGCAACGTCTTACGGTGTGGCGGGCAGGTAGTCCCTTCTTGCAGCAAATGTAAGAATTTAATGATTAGTATGAGGTGGACAAGTAGACTTTCCCAAGAGTACCGGGTCCCCCCCCCCTTTTTTTAATGCCTTTTTGGTACAAAAATAATATATATACTTTTTTTTTTTAAAGAAACTATAGATGAGTGAAAAGAAAAAAAATCACATGTTTTACACCATCTGATTATAACCACTGTTAACATTTTGGTATGTCTTTTCAGACTTCTTTCTATGCCTTTCTATTTCTTTTATTACTTTTTTTATGAAATGCAACCATACACACGGTTTTATAACTTGCTTTTTGTCTTCTTAGCCCAACCTGTCACTGTATTGCTTTATCAGTCAGTATGTAATCCATCATTTTTAACGCCTGTGTAGGTTGTACCCGGGATACCTACGTTCTTTCCAGTTTTTCACTGTTGTAGTTTTTGTCTCCTTAGCCCTGCCTGTCACTGTATTGCTCTATCAGTCAGTATGGAATTCCATCATTTTTAACGCCTATGTAGGTTGTACCCTCGATACCTACGTTCTTTCCAGTTTTTCACTGTTGTAGTCAAGGATGCGAGGAAGCCTTTCAGCTAACATCTTTGTGGACATGTCAGAATTTTATTGGGATAGTCTCCTAACGCTGGACTTGCTGCCTCCAGCTGTGGTGGGCGGTACCAACGCTCAACACCCCTTCCTTTCCTTCCTGGGCACACAGGCGCTCCACTCCCCAGCCCCTCCGTCGTTCAGGGTCCCGCGACCAATTCCAATCCCGGCCGCGAAACCTGAGCAGAGCGACAGGCGAACCTGCAGGCGGGACTGTGAGAGGCCCACGTGCAGCTCCCGTCACAGTCCCCGCGGCTCTGTCAGCCTGAGTCCCTGAGCGACTGTGTGGAGTAGGGTCCCCGAGCGACGCTAACATCTTTGTGGACATGTCAGAATTTTATTGGGATAGTCTCCTAACGCTGGACTTGCTGCCTCAAGCTGTGGTGGGCGGTACCAACGCTCGATGCCCCCTCCTTTCCTTCCTGGGCACACAGGGCGCTCCACTCCCCAGCCCCTCAGTCGTTCAGGGTCCCGCGACCAATTCCAATCCCAGCCACAAAACCTGAGCAGAGCAACAGGCGAACCTGCAGGCCGGGACTGTGAGATTCCCACGTGCAGCTCCCGTCACTGTCCCCGCGGCTCTGTCAGCCTGAGTCCCTGAACGACTGTGGAGTAGGGTCCCCGAGCGACGGTGTGGAGTAGGGTCCCCGAGCGACTGTGTGGAGTAGGGTCCCCGAGCGAC